ATGGGTTCGTTTCGTTCTAATTGCTGATATTTTCTAGGATAAAATAGGAAAATATACCACGACTTCCTTTTGTAACTTGTTACTATTAGAATACAGGGAACAGAAAATAAAGAGAAGAAAGAATTAAAAGAATTATTAATTTTATTTTATCATTCAAAAATAATGCTGACAAATATATTCCACTCTCTCTTACAAGAAAGGAGGGAGGGAAGAAGGATGTAATTACAAAATTACCCCGGAACGATACTGAGTACTTACCGTTCCGCTTCCTTATTCTACCGTCGACAATTTCTTCTCGACGGGCAAAAACATAAATTTTGAAAAATCGTCCATACACAATCACTCGAGTGGCGCATTCGCGGTTTGCCGTATGTTCTTTTATTGCGCGAACAATCTTTTTAACAGGGACAGACAAATCCACTCTCTCTTACTCTAATTCGCTAAGCCGTCAATTGCAAGAGCAGACGCGGGCACTCCGCACCCGGCTGGTCTTTCGACAAAAATTTAGAAAAAGAAAATTAATTAGATTTAAAAACTCTTCACTTGAATTGACTCTTAACCGGCCTCCGTGGACTTCGGAGTAAGTTGGCGTTTTACTTTACGTCCGACCGAAATTATTCGTGTAAGCACACGAATCAAAACGGGTCCTTGGTACCGGACGGGAGCGCTTAGGCTTTTTAATCCGGGCAGTTCCAAACAGAGTTGGAACTTCGATGCTCGCGGAAACCGTACTGAACCAAAATTTAGGGGCTGGAGATGCCTCTACAGGTCGGCTTAGGGCACCTGGTGGGAAATTTTGCTGATTTTGAATTTCGCAATTGTAGGTGGAAAGGGAAGGTGGGGCCTGTTGCCATGCCAGTTTTGCTGAATTTGCAATAAAATCGGTTTAGTGAAATAGTGTTGAAATAATAAAGTTATTTCGAAACAAAATTATTTCCAATTATTCTTTTAAATAATTTTATATTTTATTTAATCTTTGAAATTTTAGAATTTACCCTCTCATATAAAAGGTTAATATACTTTAAGATAATGGACATTTCCAAGCAGAAAGAAACTCCATTCTATTTTGTAGTATTTTGAATGTTGTTGCAATTCCAGTTTTGAGATCAATTGTCTCAATATTGATCTGAAATTGATCAGTTGCATATAGATCTAAAAGCACATTATAGTAGAGCAATGGCAGGCATAGCTTGTAGGCTTGAAAGATACAGAAGGGCAAGGTAGGATAGGCTGTGAGCAAGGAAACATAGATGTATTGGTGCCATAGCGTACAGCATAGACGTCTCCAGCCATACTAATGTGTATTATGGTCGTAATACCTAACGAGTGCGAGAGAGCAAGCATCCACTATGCATTCGACAGCGTAAGAGTAAGAGTGACGCGTACTAGTCATTGGAGCGAGGGAGAAAACCATGCGACAGAGAGAGAACGCAGTACTCCGCGAGAACAGTGTGTCTGAGAGAGAACGCTTCGCCGTTACATACAGTCTTCTTTCTCTCTCGCGCAATGTCGAGGGACGCGCGGGGAGCCTTCACTCAACGCGTTCAGTGAGGAGTCCCCACCCATGGCTGCAGAAATATTATTTTAATTTCGAATCTTATTATTTTAATTTCTATTTTAAATTTAATTTTTAATAATTTAAAATTTAACAATTCTTTAGGGTAATAATATAAACATTTTGCGATATATTTAGGGTAATATAATAATACATTTTCACGAATAAATAATTAATGATTTTGAACGAAATTCGCACTTGTTGCGTAACATCTGATTATTAAATGTATATATCTATTCAATAGCGACTCGCAATGTTGCTGAAAGGTTTTCGGACGATATCTCGGCTGTTTACCATTCAATAAGATTTTAGCACGGTTTAATAGCTTCAGGAGGTTGTGACAATGTTGATTATCGAAGCCGCAACATTCGCAAAATTGCGGTTCGCTAACTACGGAAGTTACAAGTTGGTAACATTGCGACAAGATCCATTTGCTTCTTAAGGATGTCAGAGTCATGAATCTTTATTCTACAACCTTCGCAAAATTGCGGTTCGCTAGTTATTTGCGAGTTTCGTCTGCAACGTTGCTGCAAGGTTATTAGTGTACTACAATAGACGCGAGTCTTGCAACAACGTTATTGACGAAGTTACAAGGATTTTTATTTAAAATAAAAGGAACAATCAATCAATGAAGATTATAAAATTATTACTCTTCATTAATTGATATATTCTTAAAATTTCGTGTTGGCTCCAAGAGCTTGCTTCATATAAATTAAAATTTTTTTAAAAAAAATAAAATTATTATTTTTCCAAGATGCGAGTTGCATAATAAAGTCGCGTTATTTCTTTATATTGTTTCGCTGACGTCCCGAAATTCCTGACGGTAATACGATATTAGAGTTGCTACAATCTAACTTGAAGCAAGTCTAAGAATAAAGAAAAATAATTTAAAAATAAAATAATTCTGATATATTTAATTAATAATTTTATTATAAAAATTTAATGCTTTAATTTTATTTATGTCGCCAAATAAATATTGGCGTAACAGTAATTAGTGCCTAATAACTATTAATTTAAATGAATTTTTATAGTGTCAGATTGTGTGTAGATTACAGTGTGCGATTTTACCGACGTCTTGCCAGCGCACTACATTAGCGTTGAGCCTCTGTGCGTACAGATGGCAGTAAAGTCAACTTGAGAGACTAAAATTTTGAGTTAGCCATAATTTCATCTGGACCTTGCGATTTCGTTACTGAACGCGTCTAGTGTGGATTGAAAGCAGTATATTAAGATCGCGTGTGATTTTATGTGCATGAAAAATTAGGAAATATTTTTAATTATAAGGAAAAATTAAATGAATGTGCAGTAATTATTTTGTAATAATTAAGAACCGTAGGAAAGAAAATTAAACTACAACTTTAATAAAATAAAATAATTTAACATTTTTTGCTTAAAAATTAAATTATAATCGATTGAAAACTTTAATTTTTAATGAACTTTAAAGTCTTAAGCGACGTGTTTTAATAAGTAATAATTATAATTAAATAAAAAAAAAATTCTGCTTATTTAATTAATGTTTCATAATCAATTATTTAATTTATAAATAAAATTTCAATTAATGTGAATAGATTTAAATATCTATGTTAAAAATTTGTATTTAAAAAATTGATTTACCTATAATCAATGTAAGAAGAAATTTATTTTTAAAGAGTTAAAATTAATTTATAATTTGTAAGTTTAATTTTACAATATAATTTTATTTTTAATTAATTTAAATAATGTTAATTGTTTTTGTTTGGAAGAAAAAATAAATAAATTTTAAAAGGGATAATTAAGGGAAGAATTCATTTTATATCTTCATTTACAGAATGAGTTAAAAAAATTATATTTATAGGGTAACGGCACCAGTGAAAGAACATTTAAGGAAATGCATACTTTTATCATTTATTATTTTTGAATGCAGTTATTAAAAATTTTTTTACCAATTTTTTTTCGATAGCTAATTAAGTGTAGAATTTAATTTTCATAAATATAAGATGTTAATTAAAATTTTAATTAATAAGTAAAACATACCTATTTCACCAGTGAAAGAACAAATTGTCTAATGAAAGAATTTTCTGCATCCAGTGAAAGAACGATGTGAAATATATATTTAAAATATATTTAAAAAATATATTAAAACAAAGATAAAGTAATAAAATGTTTGTAATATACTAAAATAAAGGTAAATTAATGATAATTATGAATATTTTTTAACTAAGTTTGCAGAATCTTATTTTTAATTGAAAATGCATTTATAACCTACAATCAATCATCTACTTGCAATTTATTTTGACAATATTATTGTAACCTAACAGTGTTAACCTATTTGATTTTGTCATTTTTTTGTTTGACTTCAGACTATTCGTTGAAGGTGTTCCTTCATTGGATTGCATTGGAACCAGTGAAAAAACATTTCTGTTCTTTCACTAGTAAATAAAAAAAAACCCCAATGACGGAATTTGCTTTTCTTATGGCAAATTAATATTTTATTAGCTTTTAAATGAAAAGAAGTATTTCTAATACACAAGATAAATTTAGTTTAAAGAAGACCGACGATTTAAGGCAGTTTAAATTAGTTAAATGTGAAAAAAGAAATAACGTATCAGAGAAGAGTTCTTATTGTTGAAGATAAATTTGCAACACAACATTTTAAAAAATTTTTTTTTATAAAATTTACGTGTTAACTCTCTAGGTATCTTAGATACTAAAGACGTAAATTAAATAAGGAACATAAAAATATATAATTTATAATACCAAATTGCTTATTACACTAATTAGAATGCAAAACATGAAATTTGTTCTTTCACTGGTGTCAGTTCCTTCACTGGTGCCGTTACCCTAAAACTGTAATAGAAATCAATGAAAATAAATTTTAGAACTTGCCGTGTGATACGTAATATTGAATACAGTACAGCTTTTTAATATTGTTTATACTTTCTAATAGAATAACGTATATTATGACTAATTTGTAAATATATACAGAAGATTTTGTGAAATCAGAGTTTAATTATGTACATTATTTTTTAGCATAAATTTTGCTAACATTTTATTTACAAAACATTGTCAAAATATCAATTTCAATGTTACATAGAAAAAATTGAAATACTGTTAAAAACGCTCCTTATAATATTGTTTCGATTATTCTTATGCTAATTCTTAGAGTCAATATGACTCGTAAGCATAATTTTTCCGGAAAAATTGTAAACTGTTCAATTATTATCAACTGAATTTGAAAAAATATAATTTATTTTTTAATTGCAAAGAAGTTCCGTGAATTATATAAAACTTGCTATTTAGATTTTTCAAAGAATATTTCACAAAAAATAAATTGTCTTGAATTTTGAAAATTCTTTTTCGTTAAAAAATAATTTTTGATTCTTCGACATTTTTACAGTTTAAATTTATCAATAAGACAATTACACTTGAATACTTGTATCGTATATGAGTTAATCAGTAAATTACCTTTAAATTAAGCTTAAACAATTTAAAAACTTTACTATTCCCTAAATAGTTTGAAGTTTCTCGATACAACGACAATGACAATTTATTTTTATGAGTAATTTAAAGTAAAATAATTACATTTTTAACTACATTGCATTACTTTAATTTCTTTCACCTTTCTTCTTTCTTTCTTTAATTTTACCTTTCTTAAAAATCTTTTTAAAAAATTGTACAAAAATTGATTGGACTTCGTCGAGGAAATGGTTCATGTAAAAAACAATGTTACAATGTAATCGATGTAGGATTTGGTAGGCTAATTCTACAGTCATTAGACAATTGATACGAGATTCTCGTTGATAAAGCATCACAAATTTTATAGATTATGGTTATATAATGCAACGTGATTTTCTTCTATATTGTCTACAATTTTTTCAATGGCTCTGCATTGCTTCTGGAGGCTCGTAGTTTCTTCAATTCCAAATTGTCTGTCGCTAAAATGAAAGAAGGTCCGTTTTTCAAACACAGACAATCTTCTGTTTATATCATTCTTCAAAAATAATCGTTGCGTCTCCGAGTGTAAACTGCATTGCTGCTTTTTTCAGTTTACCTTATTATGAAAGTCCACAATTCATCACGCTGACTTGTTCACACTACAAAAAATATAATCCAAATTTATAAAAATTTTTTCACAATTTTTAAATTAATTTTACAGTTAAATTATGAAATTCAAAATTTGTATATTTACAAATTTATTAATTTTTAGAGCAGTTCCAGTGAGAGCAACGACACATGCTTTGTGATTTACGTAAACAATAATATTAAATTTTAACTGAATATGATAATAAATAATAATAATAATAAAATGTTAATGCAAGTGATTGCATAAAGATGAATTGTTTATTATTTATTTATCTAAATTCATTTAGAAGTATAATATATACACTTTTAAGCGAAAAGAATTTTTTTAAAAGCAATATTATTAGTTTTTTTTTTGTGCAAAAAAACTGAAACAGTTATAACTCGTTATAAAATATATGTATTTTATTTATATTTAATATTTATTCAATTTAATATATTTGTTTTGTGTCCCATGTCCAAAGTAAGAAGAAATATTTTCGATTAAAAATCGAGTACAGAGTTTCAACAATGTTCTATTTCTTGAAATGCGTTTCTTATGAAGATTTATTTTGAATATTTTTAAAAATGTTTAATATCTTTCTACCAATCCTTAAAAATACAAAAATACATATATATGAAAAATTAGATTAATTTAAAAAATGAAATAATAATTAATAATAAATAAAAAATAAAATAAATTATAATAATTTTTAATAAATAATATTTTTCAATGCCTTACAATAATGGATACTAAGGAATATCCTTGTAACGTAAATCCATTGATTTAGAACGGTTTATATATATCCCTGAGATATGTCTAGGATATCGATAGATTTTCTTGTAATGTGCTAGAGATATCCAAAGTGAAAAATATCAATGGATAGCCTAAAGCATCGTAGGGTCATCCTCAATATCCCAGCATTGTAATTTAAGCGGTTTTATTGTGTTTGGGATTAAAAAGGAGATTTAAAAAATTTTTTAAAGTTCAATTTTAAAATAATCCACAGTTAAATTTAAATTTACCAAATTTAAATTGTTTAGAGGTAACGGATTAAAAAAAATTTGTTAAGAATCTAAGATAACATTCCACTAAAAAAAATTGGAATAAGTGATTTCAAGTATTTTACAATTTTGTTTCATTTGTAAAAATATTTAATTTTTCGAAAAATAAAGAAATTTTTAAAAATATATACGATTTATTGTTCAGAATTATCAAAAAGCATGAAAAATCGTCAGTAAAAAATAATAACACTTTTTAAAGGAATTTAAATTTAAATGTAAATGTAAGTCTTATTTAAACAATTATTAGGGTCATTCAAATTGTTTTTTACATTTTAGGGAAATATTTTTAGTTGTCTTTTGCAGTAACTTCTTACTTGAGTTTTCCAGAACAGATTCATGAGGTATAAAGAAATAGCCCAGCGGGCAAAAACCATTAATGTTTTAAGAACGTTCCAAAAACATTTCTAGAACGTTTCATGTCTGCCAAATAACATTCCAAGAATGTTCCATGTTTATAAAACGTTTTTGGAACGTTTTTAGAACAATTAAGGTTTTTTGCATACTGGGAGGTGTCTTTGATAAAAAGTTACCACAAGTTAGGTTAGGTCAACAATTAGCAATTTTCAAGCAACAACTCAGATCAAATATGGACAAATTATATTTTGTTCTGATATATAATGCATAGCCTAATTATGCCGTTTATAATTATCCCAACTATCAAATTCTTTGGTTAATTGAAAACAACTTGTGATTAAAATTACCAAAAAGCAAACATATAAGTTAATTTTTGTTACAGGAGCAATAACAAATAATAGAAACTGAACGCTTTTTTGTTCCTTTTTTCAAATGCAAGACGAAATGTTTAAAAACTTTTGATTTCATGCATTGAAAGGTAACATGAATTATTACTTTGCGAAAAAAATGTCAATACTCTGAATCCCTTGTAGGTGATATAAGGTTGAAATATTTATATCGTACTTAATTTTCATTCTGTAAATTGACCTCCAACATCTTATGCTTGTATTTAGCCCTTGTTTTGAATCACCATAAATGACCATAATTAATTAATTGTTTTTTTCTTAAATTTTGTATGGTATATTATAATTTTAAGCTATTCAAATTTGTCTGAAAAAATTGAACACTTACAAACAACAAACACTTAGATTGGGTGAAATTCCATTGGTCCCTGGCCTTAATTTTAAACTAATTTTTCTGAAAATTACATTGTTTAAGTAGCGCAAGTGATTTGCTACAATTTTTGTACAGTTTATTCTACACAATCATGACTTTGTCCAGAACTAGAATTCCTTAATTTCAATCGTAACATTTTTTTTATTATTAACTTTTCATCAATAAAAAAAGTCAAATTTTTTGAATTTATTATTTACAAGGTCGCCATTTTGTAATTTTATTCTAGTACGGTAATCAGTTTGATTTTTCTTATAAAAAATAACAGGACTGCAATGATTCAAATCAACTTGCAGTTTAAGTCATGATTTAAATCAAAAAATTTCTTCGATTAAATGTTTCAAAATATCTCATTATAAATGTAAAAATACGATTTTGATATATCTGAATTTACGGAGTACGTGAAATTTAAACCCTCTTGAGCCTTAATTTATAAAAGCTGAGTCTGAGATTCAGCAGGTGTTGCTGGTTTTACCAACAAATTGTCTTAAATTTAGGACGTGTAAAGCGCTGATAATTAGCTATTAAACGATAAGTTCAGAGATTTAACAAAAACTGCCTTAAAAATGTTACATCTTAAAACAAAACACATTTCCTGCCTTAAAATAAAATTCTCTTTTTACTGTGTAAATATCAGTATCCTGTAACACTTTCCTCTACTTTTTAAAACAGAAATTCTTATTGTAACTTAAAATTTTATGTATTAATTTTCTTTTAAAGTAAAAACGATATTAAACATTAAAAAATTAAAATTAATTTGAGAAGCAATTTTTCAAAAAGTGATAAATACATTTTTCAAAAAAAAAAAAAAAAAAATTAGGTACTTTACGAATTGATTTATCACTGCTGAATTTAAGACAAAAAATTTACTATCACAGAATTTTTAATTTCAAGAACATTTGGGCCTAATATAGATAATTTATATCTTTTATTTTTTATTAGAAAAAATTACCAGAACCTTTAAATACCTTTCTTGTCATAGGCTTTAATTACAAACAAAAAATCTTAAATACAAAAAGAATTCAAATATTAATAATGTATTACAAATTTTTACATTATAGTTAACGTTAGTGGTTGTTTGAGAAATCTCATTTATGTTTAAGTTTCTCGAAATGACAAAATATTGATTTATCAGCTGTTAAAAAAATGGTTCCTCATTCTTACTGTCATTCTATAATGACTATTTTATTAAAAGCGGGTTGAGCTCCAATTTAATACTTTTTTTAATAAAAATAGAAATATTGCTTGATGCTTCAATTGCTTATTTTATCATTTCTAATGTTAAAAAAACGAATCATTTAAAAAGTTTAAAAATTTAAATTTTAAAAATCATGATTTTTATCAGCTCTGAAAAATAGTAAAAAATAAAATGAAAAATAATAAATTAATAATAAAATTCCTTCCCACAATTTTTTACAAAAAATAAAAAGTTATAAAAGTGTTTCATTCAATTATATTTAATTTTTTAAGTAATAAATCCTGAAATAAACTTCTAAAATAGAACTGAATATATTTCATCATTTAAACTCATTTTAAATGTTAAAAAATGTTTTCTTCAACGAATTCGTTGTTTTAATATTGCCTATGTTATACCTATGTGTGCGCGCGTTTAAAATTGTTTCTAATTGAAATTAAATGAAAACAAAGTATTTCTTACATATGAGCTCCATTACGTACAATGTCTGTATGAAAATGCACCATTTACAAATTTGCATTTAATTATCCACAATTCTGCATTTTGACAATTCTATCATTCATTGAACAATGATATATTTATCGCATCAACTCGATGAACGCTATGTATAGGCCCAATCTGAAAATAATTATCTTTTAATCTATAAAGTGCTTTAGTAATATTTTAATTTTATGTCATTATACGAGATTCATTGAAATAAATTGTTATCTATGTTTTTATATTTTTCTGCTGATAAGTTTTTAACATTAATATTACAAAAATTAAAGAAATTTGTAAATACCTCCAATATTTGTAGTAGATATATTCGTCGCTTCGCAATACAAATTATTGAAAGCAAATTTTTGAAGTTGATATGTTCCATTTCAATTAGTTAATATTCTTTTTCTTTAGACGACAAAATGGATCAAGTGATTGCAGAACATGAACTTGCTGTTTCGTGACCAAGATAATGAAGTAAAATTTTATGAGACAAATAAATTCCATGACAATAAGGCAGTTTCTTTTCTTCTTGAACAATAATTACTATAGGTGTATTCTTCACTTTGTAATAAGAAAGCTTGAAGATAATTTTCGGAAGATGCTGAATTCCTTTTCAATTAAATAAAGTCTTACTTATTCGTACTTAATAAAGCAGAGAAAGTTATTAAAATAAATTAACTCGACTTTTCATGATTCAGTAAAATTTTGTAAATTTAGACTATTAAATTTCATTCCAATGAATAACAATTGTTTTCCTCGAAGAAACTTTGAAAAGAAAATATATTTTGATTTATTTGTAGAATGCGATAGTATAACAAGGTCCAATTTTTAATCGGTCTCCCAGACATTGCTGAGAGGTACGGCAGCAAGATTTTCTGTGATTGGAATTAGAAAACCAGGACTTCTTACTTCAGTGTAAGGGATGAAACGTTTCTCTTGTATTCGCTCAAGACGCTGCATATAAGGCACTCTGTATGCATTTCCAATCAGGCGTAACGTTTGTCCAATGACACCAGCAATTACCACACCGTGATAGGTATAAAGACAATATCTTTTCTATTATAAAGAATCTTGAATCTCTACTGACGACAATATGGTCACAAAACTTTCGACGTTTATTCTCAAAAATTTTGTACTCGGTACCATGAATGCGGGCTTTCTTAAAGATTTGTATATGTCTTTCGGGATTTACAAAGTGTCCAGCAGCTGTTAACAAATTAATTTCCTCCGCTTCAGGAAGACGAACAATTGTTTTTCCCAAGCCGAGAAAGTAGTGTCCTTCTGGCATCCCTTCTACGTGAACATTTGAAAGCTTCAATAGACGACTTGTTTCTGCTCTTGTTACATCCGCAACTTGTATTTGCCTTGACGCTACAATGACAAATTTTCTCATGAAAAATCTACCGATAACTTGGTCTGCTCTACGGTATGGACTTTTTATACAATCAGTAATTCTTCGATTCATTGATTCAAATGGTAATGAAGAAAATACCCACAAGGGACCCCAATTTCGTACACAATCAACAAGGTGAGTTAAAAGATGTACATTGTATACCATATTTCTTAACAAATAATTTGTCTGATAGTCTCTGACAAAAACTGTGAGCAAATTCTCCGCGATGTCTAATTGAGCTTCGGTTATAGAATCGGAATTGAGAATGTAAACCGCCTTGACGAGCTTTTCGAGGTGAATCATATATCTCTGTGGCAAAATTCTGTCAAGACATGGAAGGGCGTAATACAAAAGCCAATTTCTCCATTCCGTAGCTTTCCACAATTTGTACATGGTTATACTTCTTGGTGTTCGAGAAATTCTTGTCGGCGTCTTGATGGTCAACAGCTTGGCATCTATAGCTGCTATGGAGTTTGGATTTCCAATGTACCATCCTTCATTTGCATCAGTGAGCCATCGTACCACTAACCGTTTTGCAACTCCGAGATAGCAATTGTGTGCCCCATCTACTGGTACCCCCTCTCGAAGATCGAATTGTGGCAGTCTTGTTAAAGCTGAAATACCTTTTACGCCATTAACAGTATGTCCTTCCTGAATTGCTTCCAGTCCATCTCGACGTATTGATTCATTTGTACGTAATTGATGATTACCTACTCTGTACACCCAAGTGTTATCAGCCATTTCACCTTCGGCGAGGCAATAAGTGCACCCACATCTTCCGTTGAATCTTTTCATTCTTAGACAATCCGACCTTGCCAACGAATCTGCAACGAAAATGGTAGTTATGAATCTACTTATTACCTCGTTTTCTCCATCTGGACTCCAACGAAGTCCATTATGAAACAATTCCCGTAGTTCATTGCATACAGGGCGCAATATACCGTTCATCGATGGATGCGTATTCGATACCCACAATCCAGCTAAAAACATGTTTTGCTTTCTTGCATGAGGCGACAATTCGTTTAATTGCAAAATAACAGTATATGATGTAGCGGGAGACGACTTTGTCAGTTTAATTCCATCGGTCCATAAAGTTAAAGAAAAATTATTTTCATTTGACAAAAAATTTCCAGGATTTCTCAAGTCCCTATATCTTTGCCCATCATAAACATCTTCAATGCCATCATTGTTTATTTTTACTCTAGTGTCCCGATATCTCAGTGATTCAGCAATATTAGGGGTATTGAGAACATCTTGTAATTGAGGAGCAAGGCGAATATGTACAAATGTCGCAATGTTTGATTTATCGAGATCTGGGCCGCAGACTCCACAACGACACACTCGTTCAACTACATTTCCCGTTCCTATTCGATCTTTGCACTTTGAGCAAAATAACTGGTATTCTAGGTTTTCATCACTACGACCGAGGACCTCCCACAAGGCTGATTTTGTTGTTGGTAAATTGATGAATCTGTAAGACTTTTTTAACCACGTTAACTCATCTATTACCTGTTCATAGGTGTTGGAGTGACGTACTGCTCGGCTTAGTAGAACTAAAAGATGGTCAATAGCTCTTAGCTCTGGGTTAGCTTCTAATTCAACACGCATCCCCTCGGTGTTTATACCCCTAAATAGTGTTTGTTGTGGGCCTTCTCTTTCCGGTTCTTCATTAATATCTTCATTTTCATTGTCATCAACTTCAACGTCAGCAACTTCTTCATTTCCATTGTTGACTCGATTATCTTCATTTTCTCTGACATTTACTTCGCCAGCATCACCATCAGCTTCACCGTCATCATCACTTCTTTCTTCTTCATCGTCACCTAAAACTTCATCATCATCTTCATAATCATCATCATCATCATCAAGATCTTGATTATCATCTTCATCATCATCATCTACACGATTATCTTCATCCTCACTATCATTAAATTCCTCAAAATTGTTATCCATAATTCTTGTGATTCTGAAATTCCATTAAAATTCAGAATGTTAGTAAACTAAAATAATAATAACAATAATAATAATAATAATAATAATAAAGATAATGATAATAATAGTAACAGCTAATAATTATGCAATTTTTATTCTAAACAATATTTTATATTAGAAAATGAATTTTTGTAGCATGATCTGTGACAGTCTGTTAGATTGACAGACAGCATACAGTCATTTTCTTGTGAACACGAAAACATTGAAACATTTTAACGAATTAATGAATATTAATAACTCTAAATAAATTTTTTATTAATATAATTATTTGGGGCGATTTCACATTCCCAGGATTAGACTGTACACTTGAGAATTCTACCTTTTAAGTTGTATATTTTTTACTGTACAATAACATATATCAATGTTAGACTACACATTTAAAATTGAACACTCCTGTATTTTTCTCCTTTTCATTTGTTTAACTTTGTTAAATTGTCATCCACATAATTTTACACAGACTAAAATACATACAAAAAATTGAATAAATAATTTTCGAATCCTACACCATTAAATTAGTAAAAGTCAAATTGTACACAAGATAATATTAAAATTTAATAATTTTAAACTCTACACGAACAATTCTAAACATTTTGATTAATATTATATTGTTAAGTTGTACATCAATCAATTCTGAACTAAGTTACATACAAAGATTTAAATAAAAAATTGCACATTCTACACTGTTAAAGTTGGTACTATCAAACTCTAAACGAAATAAAATTTAAAATAATAATTTTAAATTCTACACGAATTAATTATACATTTTTATTTTTTTATTTTTCATTCAATTATACACTGTTTATTTCAATACAATGTAAATAGCGTACCATAATTTTAATACAAAATACTAAAACTTTATACGGTTAAAATGTACACCATTTACTTCCACACAGAGGTAAGGTACGTGAATAATAGAAATTACATAAAAAATTAGCAAACTGTACACTATTAAACTATATAATGTTAGATTCTCTTAACAACAATGACCTTAATACTGTCTGTTTTCAAATGTTTTATTGTTATCTATTGTTTCTATATCTTTACTTTATTAGTATTAAAATGTGGAGTGGTTGAATAACAAATTTAATTCTTAAAATTAATAAGTTAATAAATTTTAAATTAAATAAAAATTTAAGATATAAAACTAAATAAATTCTATGATATCTTTACTTAAACTTTTGTATTTTACTTCTCATGTTGTTGCAAAAAATGTTTTCTTTAAAGAATAAGAACATTGTTAAAGGTTGATGCATATATAAGCAGATTTGGTACGGTCGGTAAAAAATATTAATTTTTTCTGTTCGGTACGATATAAAAATCAATTAACAAAATATGACCAATAAAATAACCTCTGCGCACTTCCACAGAGAATTTTATCTTTACTGCTAAAACACTTGCTTTAAAATAAGCACTGAAAATTTCGAAACATTTATCGATTTTACAACCTTTTTAAAGTTCCTTACGCGATAGGAACCCTATTAAAATGGTTTGGGCAGCAAAATCATGTACCCCCCTGGCGCTTATAATTTTTTACTTCTTGAGGTTAAAATTTTACATACTTATGTATTTTCACAATTAGATTACAAAAAAAATATAGCGAACATGATTGGAGTTGATCTTCATAGCGTTTTTCACAAAAAACTTGAAGTTTTCGCCAAGTTTGTCAAAATATCGTGTAACGCCTTCTGGTACTTACACTTTTGTATCTAGAAAGCTGAAAATTTTAATTTTTGTGTCTTTTCACACGTAGATTACTGGAAAAAAGAGTTTTTTACGAGAAACTATAAATTTTTGACAATATTTCACTATTTTGTCAAAATTGTGTAACACTCTCACACTCACCATTTTTTATCTAAACAAAAGAAAATGTGCATACTTGTGTGTTTTTCCGTATAGATTACAGAAAAAATATAGTGAAAATGATTAAAGTTCATCTTCATAGCGACTTTTGCGAAAAACTCAAAGCTTTTGACAATTTTGTCAAAAAAATCGTGTAACTACGCAATCTAGCGCTCACAATTTTAGCCCTAGAGAGCTG